GCCCTTGCACGAATTTCATGTGTTTCCCAACAAAACCTGAAATAATGATTTTGTACACTTGTCATTCTTGGGTTCGCTGCTAGAAACAACATATTCTGACAATCCTAAAAAAGCCATTTAATTCTTCATCTTGTCATGTAGTATCTTTCTCTTCTCGGTCAAGAACTAAGCATCTGCGATTTTATCTCTCTTTCAAGACATGTTAGCCGGTCATCATTTCACAGATACTGGCAGAAGACATGAGACTCCTGGGTCAGAGACAAAGGACTTTATTACCCCCAGCACAGCATGCAGCGTGAGCTTTTCGTTTCTCCCTCAAGTTCCATGGGCGTGAGGCATGGCAGCCTGGGTAGATGCCGCACAGACAGTGACTATGTGTTACACCCAATTAACCAGCCTCAAGCTTAGAAACTCTCAGTCTTCTAAAGGGGCTGCTAGCAAACTTGTCCCAACTTCTGCCCAGAGGGATTCATTATTGTTATTATCCTGGTCCTGGAACAACTCTTTCATTTGCCCTGAAAGGAGGTTCTATCTTTATCTCCCAAGGCTGTTTGAATAGATAGTGTGGAACAAGAGCTGTCAGTAGATGTGTGGAAATGCTATAGAGAATTGTCCTTACCCCGTATGCTGAAACAGTTCTGGAAATAATCATGATGAAGCAGTGATGTAGGAGGACATGGGATGGCATGTTGAGGTTTGATTATTGGCCTGGATATTATTTCGTCATTGAAAACCTGAACTTGGCATAGGTTTTCAATGATGAAATAATACCCAGGTTATTGGTTAACCTATATAATACGTTGAAATTGTGGAAATACAGTTTTAAAAATTATTTTTATGATGATGAAAAAGGACTAAGAAGGGATGATAATATTCTAAGAAGAAAAAGTTTGGCATTTCATAAGTTAAGTATGTTAAGAATATAAAGCATTATTCTGAATTACAGATGAGGTATTCTCTAATTTATTCATAGCACTAAATGAATTAGTCATGAAAATCTTTACAATGATAGATGATCCTAAAATGAATTTGTATTTTCTTTACACACACACACGTTTTCTAGCACATCCTTTTGAATAATGTATGCATCCATAGTAAAATCATAATTCAAAACCAAACTGAATCTCAAGTTAGAAAGGATTTTAAAATTATCTGAGAAAATCTATCCCTTGGTGCAAAATTCCCCCTTCTCGCCCTCCCCCACCCCCTGCAAATAATGGCTCAGTAAAGTTTGTGAACTTGTTCAGCTTCACTTCCAGGATCCCTGCTCATTAATGATGTTAGTGCCTCTCCTCATTGTTGTATTTATGTGATATTTTTTCCAAATATTCCATGATCCACTGATAGATTAACTGCTACAATCAAGAACTTTGATTCTAGGATTTTATGCATGGGACTTTCCTCTTTAGTTGATTTTATTTCATATCCCACTTTTGTTCTTTGTCTTTTTTCTGTCACAACATCCTATCTAACAATAGACAAACATGGTAATTGACCGTACCTTTGCTATGCCTCCCCTTGGCTAATCAGCGTGATATGCAAATTAGCTGCCAACAAAGATGGCAGCTAATGTGCATACTGCAGGCAGGGCGGGCCAGCACGAGCTGCCATCCAGGCCCCTGTGTGCCACCTAAGCCCCGCCCCCAGCCGGGACCCCCGTGTGCAGCCCTGCGCGCCAGAGCTTGGCAGCAAGATTGGCCCAAGGAACCCCTATTCTTGCATGAATATTCCTGCAACGGGCTTCTAGTAAATATAAAAGCTCATGTGTTTTCTTTTTTTAAAAAACCTTTAATATTGAAAGTATTACATATGTCCTCCTTCCCCCTCCCCCATTGGCCCCTTCTAGCCCACCCCTGTTTTCATTTCAAAGTTCCTGTGCTCACCCTAGCCGGTTTGGCTCAGTGGATAGAGTGTGGGCCTGTGGACTGATGGGCTCCCGGTTCGATTCTGGTCAAGGGCACATACTAGTACTTGGGTTGCAGGCTTGATCCCTAGTAGGGAGTGTGTAGGAGGCAGCTGATCAATGATTCTCTCTCATCATTGATGTTTCCATCTCTCACTCTCTTCCTTCCTCTCTGAAATCAATAAACATATATTTTTAAAATCTGCAGTAGGAAAGCAAAATAACACCTTCTGCTGAATATTGTTAGTAAGAAATTGGAGGGGATACTACATCAACAAGAACATAAAAGTAACATTATATGCCTTTAATTCAAATCATAGAGCGTGTATGCCAATGATAATAAATGTAATCATATAAGGATTATCATAATAAAATGCTGTTGTCCCCATTTTTATAAATTCCCAATATTTTTCATGTATCAGGGACTGGATTTGTCTACATGATGTAAGAGGTAAATGACAAACCTCTTCCACTTCTAGCACATAAGCTCCTAACCTGGTAGGCACTGATGGGGCACAGCATCAAAAAAGCGTAAATCTTGATCATCTATGGGATTTAAACATATATATCAGATTTCAAACACTAAAATGGCTACAGGGGCCAGTCAGGGAAAAGAAAAGTCTGGAGCAAATCGGAGTGTCTGTGCCATTGAAACCTTCAGACATTCAGCCCCAGAGGAATGTTGCCACACCGGAATGCAGGCCTGTTGCCTGTCTGTCTTCACATTTTTCTAGAGAAACCAGAAAGATGAGTTTTTGTGCAAAAGCCCTTATTTTTGAATGTTGGGTACTAATTTAAAAATAATTAAGTAGTGCGCTCACTAAGTAAAAAGCACATTCAGTCAGCAACATCAACTATGTAGGTTGATAAGCATAATAGCTTTCCAGGCCAGCAGAATGCAGCCTGGGTTGGAGGTGGGCAGGGCAGAAGGAGATATCAGTGAGAGATAATAGGAATATTTTGCGAACAAACAAATGACCATGGAAAAACAGTCTGGAATACTGGCATAGGCCAGACAATAGAGTCTACTGACAGGAAACCTTGACACTGGGTACCAGGAAACTATACATGAACTCTTCTCAACCTAGGCCCTGAGGACGTTTAACCGGAGGAAGGAAAGGTTATTTTTCAAACTAATTTTTTTGAGAGTCCCAGACTACTCTGCTGGGCAATTTCCATTCCTTCACCAAAATGTTGACTTGAGAATGGATTGCTACCCATGACCCCAGCGAGGTGCGAGATACAATTGTAGATAAAAAGAGAAATGGGTGATGTGTTCTCTCTTCAAGGAAGAGAAGAATAAATTTGAAATACAGTGAAAAAATACCTGAATCCAGTGGGAAACGGGCACAGTTAATGTTTTAAAGAGTAAAGACCTGCAAGTAGTGTATTAGGCGATACGTTATAAATAAGTAGGGTCGTTAATCCTTTAATCCTTTCATGCAGCAACTGTTACTGAGTCCAGCACACACCAAGTCCGGGGCCAAGTGGTAAAAATGCAAAGGGAACTCATGGAGGTGCCTGGCTTAAAGGGACAGACGGGTTTAGGAGGCAGACTGGACTGCAGATGTATGTGAGGTAGGTTAGGTACAGAGCAGGCTGCTTGAAGTGTGTGTGGTCTCTGAAGGACTGAGACATGAGGTGAACCTTCAAACAGTTAAAAATAATAGTTTAGCATGATGTGAAAGCTCAAAGATAAGTGTCTTTATTATGCAAATAATGATGTAAAGGAGATTGTCTTGTTTTATCCTTTCAGAAAATAGAACAAAATGAAAATGTGTGGAATTGCAGAAAAAAGGAAATGGTTTTTTAGTGTGGTTTATTTTTATGTGCAGTTGCATAATCGTACATTATCTTTTCTTTCAGATACACTGGCCCAGTACAGCACAAAAAATAGAAGAATGCATAATGAAAGGAAAAGATGCAGTAAGTATTATTCATTACAAATTAAGTAATTCATCAATTATATCTCTCATCAATCACAAAAGACTGAATTCCTAACTTTATATTTGCTTTAAAAATTATATATGCTATTTATTCTCAAGAATATATATACAAACATATATACATATATTATATACAATATATGTATATACAATATTTAAAAATTAATTTCAATGCAGAATTAGATTAAAAGGAGTTGAGATGCCATCCCTAACTTCGTTTTTATTTTGTTTTATTATATTCATCAACTCACATTTATAAATTCCTTATGCTAATGTTTATTTCCTATGTATTTGGGGGGAAAAATTGTAGGTAGTGTTGTTTTTATTATTATTTTTATTTATTTATTTTTTTATTATTAGCTAAGGTATTACAAATGTGTCCTGTACAAACTCTTAATGTATCTTCAGAAAGAATCCACTTTCTTGGCATGCTATCTTATACATAGATCACAGAATGCTCAATAAAACTGTGCTACATTGATTTTTAAATCAGGGAAAATCAAGTTTAAATAAACAATTGAA